GGTGAGGGGGAGGGCGACGGTGGAGGGAGCGGGTGCCGTGGCGACAGGGTTGAGGAGCGTGTGGACGACGATCTTCTGCCCGGTGGTCAGATCGTTTTGCAGCGGTTGCGACGTGGGGGCAGACGGGATGACAGTATTGCGTCTCGTGTGCGCAAACGTCGTGGCCACATTGCGACCGACACGGGGGCATGTGTCATGCGACAGGACCCGGTTGCCGTGTTAGAGGACGAGATGGGAGATCCTTCCAACGAGACACGGCCTGACCCGGCTCACGCAGAGGCGCAAGCCTCGGTGACCGATGCGATGGTGACGGAGGAGGATACTGGTTTCGGGATCACTCATCCACGGTCGCCAGCGCCGGTTGTTGGCACTGAGGAGGAGACGGACTTCGGAGAACACGGTACACTCCGCCAGGCGCAGACTCAGTGCACTACAGCAGGCGGCCTAGTCCACTCCAGAGGAGCGGGTTTGGAGGACGGCGAGGCACGACGTGAGCCGCCTCCTCACACGAGTGACGGCGTTCTAGAAGATGGAGAGGTTGCACCTACTCCCACTTRTGGAYAGGACGGGGAGGACGAACGTCCTCYGACGGGCCACCACGTCGGCCTCGACTGCCCGCCCGGCAGTCTTCCGCGCACCGACGAGTTATTGAACATGGATTCCGCCTTGGCATCACTGCCCGATGTGTCGCTATTGATATCTCCCACTTTGGCGGTTGTGCCACCACCGGAGCCTTCTAGACGAGACGATGAGCGTCACAACAGAGGGTTCGACGAGTTCAGCGGCGACACGATACTGCATCCTTTAGAGTCCGTCATTCGAGCCATTTTTCATGTCGGTGCACCGTGGGCAGTGGAGCAGGGGTTGGCGGAGGAGGTGGGACGAAACCGTCGTGGCGGACCGCTCATCGCAGCGCAACGTAGTCTGGGAGGTTCACTAGAGGCAGCGTCTGGAGATTTTGTGGCACAGGGGGGTCATGGTTCGCATCAGTTGTCGGACGGCGTGTCATCGGTCCGTCCACCGGACGAGGGCAAGCAGCGAGAGCGACATGGAGGCTCAACGGAGACTTTAGAGGCGAGGCATCCCGGAGTTATCCGCTCGGACGAGGGCGTGGCCCATGATATGGCACAACCAGGGAGCGCAAACGCTGCATGGTCCATCGGGGAGGGCATCGAGCGCATAGGGTCATCGACCGCACACGACGTCAGAGGAGGCGGGGGCGGGGGTGGGGGTGGCGCAGCCGCTACACGGTCCTTCGGGGAGGGCATCGATGCGCAGGGGGGCATCGAGCACATAGGGTCATCAACCGCACACGACGTTGGAGACGCGCACATAGATGAGCCTCGACCGCATCTGATGGGGATGCGTGACATCATGCGTCCACCACCGTCACTCTCCCCTGCTGCTGACCCCATCGCCCACGGGCAGGCCTTGCAGAGCGCATTGCCGACGAGGTCTTTCTACGACGGTGCGGCCATGGACCGGAGGGCGTGCGATATCGGATATGCATCATCATGCAGATCGGCAGATGTGCCCGCGGGGGCGAGATTGATCGGCAACGTCGATGGCACTTGTCACGGTTCCATGAGAGCTTATGAGGAGCAGCATGGGAGGCCTATACGGGCCAAGACGACCGATGTCCATGACACCAGGACGGCTACTGCGAGGCTATCATGGACGAGGAGGAAGGGAACAAGTGCGTCGATTCCATATCACCGGCGCCGCCCGCATCCTTTTTTCCGCAACCGTGACGAGACCGGACAGATGCCAGCTGCTGCAGATGGACGGGGCGGGGTGGACGTAGGTGACAGAGTGGACGAATGAGGACGAGGTGAGAAGAGACGAGTTGGCACGATGATCATCCACGACGACAGCTCCACAGCCGCTGAGGGTGGTGAGACCACAGGCGCCGACGACCCTGATGACTCCGATTACGTCCCGAGGATCCGGACAGCGGACAGAGACGACGGCGGAGGTCGTCGCGTGAGGATGAGGACTGGACCTGGCCCGGAAGGTCATTGCACCCCATCGACACATTTGCCGCCTATTGATCCACGGGCGCGAGCTTGTTCTCTGTTGCGCGGAATGGAGGCGCAAAGAGAGAGAGAGAGAGAGAGAGAGAGAGAGAGAGAGAGAGA